AATCACAGGACTTCGAAACTTGAGTTATATAGTTTTCTTTGTTCTCTCCTATTTATCGAAAGGATATCTGGGTGAAGAGGTGTTGAATCATTCCTATTACACATGTTTGCAGTTGATTCGATAAACAAAGCTTCTGTTATCAATCTCTCCCTCCACCCTGTGACATTAGATTTTAAAACTGTCATCTTATCCGTCCTCCTACTGTATGGATGTGTGTAACTGCATGTAGTGAGTGGTATAGCTGAACTATTCTCTAGATTTCTCATCTTATTCAGGTCAACTAATCTAGATTTTGCTAGGTTTTTGTGCTCCGCTAATCTGACTGCACCTGTTCTACTACTTTGACCTATGTATTTTACCTGACAGTCATCACAGGCAGGGTATTAGATAAACTAAATTGTTTTGTTTTAAAGGCTCCACAGGATCCTTTAACTGACACAGCTTGTTTCTAATTGAGTTTGTGGGTTTGAATGCGGCCACTTTTATTCCTGCCTTGTTAAGAATTCTCCGTAAGGTTTCGGAGGTTCCTTCTTTGTTGGGAACTACTACTGATCATTTATATTCCCTAATGTCGGCGCTGTCATAATCCTACGCGTTTCTGACATACATGTCCTCCTTAATATTTTTTTTATTCCTTTACGTTTACAGTGGAACGTAGGGCTTCAAACTAGTGGCTTGAAGTTTCTGTAGCAGTGTTTATTTTACAGGATGGGGTCGCTAGCCTCATGCTCAACCTTTCCTCCTTACCAGCATTATTTCTGGCTCAGCGAGGTAAAGGAGTGCGTCGGACGGGGATCGAACCCCGGACCATGTGCATGGTCGGCGAGCGTCCTAACTGCTGCACCACCGACGCACACTCATTAATATTACTATTATTAATATTATCTCTACCACTACAAGTATTGTTATTTATTTTATTTTTACATTGTCCTACATACTTCCTTATTAATTTATTAGGGTAGTTATTAAGTTTCAAAGCTTCTCTTATATACTTCACTTCCTATCTTGGATTTTTCTTGGTGCTATCTAATTAAATAAATATGGAATTACATACTACCACAGTGCCCAAGTTTTACACACATATATTAGCACTTCTTTTAACTTCTAAAATGATTTTTTATGTATTTTACAATATCCCTCAAATTGATTCTTTTCATTGAATTAACATTTCCTAATGCACACAGAGAAGCATGAAATAAATTCACAAATGTATGCCTAATATTGTGCTATTTTGTATTCATCTTGGTTAAACGGAATACTCTGGGCAATTGGTTCTTTTTTCTTAATTTTGACAAAACACTAAGAAGATTCATTTTTATGTGATACTTGTAATGTGTTTACCTAACAGATTTTGAAAATTGTGACCACAAATCGAATTCACAATTTATAAGTTAATTTGCAATACAGTATAACACTGTGAGATGTCTAGCTAGCGAATAGGGTGAACTGGTTCCTTGACTACCATTCATGGCATCAAGCAGATGACATATTGTGATCTGAATAATTCAGGTTTCTAAAAGAAACCGCATTGAAATTTCACCTGTTCGAACTGTGTAAAATACGAATTTGATTTAAGGTATTACCGCTTCGCTTAAATAGCTGACTGGAGATCGGGTGGTTTGAGATGAGTTAATCCGAGTACACCGCTGATGACCTCAGCCCCAAACGAGTGTGACGCTTGTCCGGTGCTTAGATCACTTCGATAATCTAGCTAACAAACAGTACTGGTTGATGTGAGTGTTATTCAACTACTCATCGCAATCAATCATTTGTGTACTGTTTCATTCTTATCACACAATTATTTGTCTTGCATATTTATATCGAAGTCGACGGAAATTCGATTAAAATGGGGTAAAAGCTAATTAGAGACCAATTGGTAAGGTGTCTATTTGTTGTTCCTTCGGTTTGTTGATAAATGAAATCGAGACACTGAATGGAAAGTTCATGTATAACTGAAAAAACACTCATGTATTAAGAAGAAAATTATTTAAGTTATCAAAGCAATTTATAATCATTTGTGCTATTATAGTTGAAAATAGATTCTTCCGTCATAACAAATTCACAGAGTACTATCATTATTATTTCTGTAGCTTCTAAGTGAAACATTGGGCTTCTACGGAACGTGGACACTTCATCCTATTCCCTGAAGTTCTCTTCACCTGGCCCCACGATTACCTTTAGGCTCTCACCTCCTCTGCACACAGGCGCGCGCAAAGTTTCTGACCTCTATCGAAGAACTGACTGACTTGACACTGGTATTGAAAATCCGACTCTTGTTCTTTATGCTGAGTGTACCAGATTTCCAAACTGATTTTAGAATGGTGAAGGTCATTCTTGTCTTCCTGGTTTTGCCTGGTTTTGACATTTTCACCCATGCTGTCACCTGTGGATGAAACAATACTGCCTAGATAAGTGAAGGAAGTGACCACCTTCAGATTTATTCTCTTGACAATGATTGGTGCTTGTTGCTGTTGGTTGGTTATCTTCGTCGTCTCCATCTTCTCTATGTTCACTCGAAGTCCTGTCATGGTTGCTCACTTCTTCTGCCAATTTGTTGGTTTTCACCTCTAAGTCTTCAAGTTTGTGTGACATTAGAAATAGACTGTCCGAGAAGACCAGATCTCCTAGAGTTTTCTTCTTACTGTCAAAGCAACTTCAATGAGTATGATGGTAAAATAGTTATTGCATAAATAAAAGACAATAACCAGGCAAACGAATTTATCTACTATCTAAGAATTTTATTAACAGGAATAATAAGTTAGGAGTTTGCTGCAACAGATCGTTAGATAAAGTAAATCGAGGATAACTAGTTCATGTAAATTCATGTTCTTAGTAATCTAATAAACTGACTGCTTCTCATCATATGGAAGGTGGAAATTCTCATATGTAAGTTAGTAATCTATATGTAGATGGTATGAAATATTATGGTAGTCTAACAGTAAACAGTGATTCTACACGTTCTTCAAGACAGAAGGCTCAACGAAACCTTTGAAGTGAAGAAAATGGTAAAACGAGAGTGCCTACTTTCACCGATGGCATTCTTAATTGTGATGGACTGGACAATTCAAAAGCTGCGAGAAGCAAGATGAAGGACACATGTTAGACCGGCAGATAGATTCTAAAAGATTTGGACTTTGCGGCTGATTCCTGTCTAATGCCATGCTAACTCGGAGATCTACAGACGAAACTGACAAAATTTTCAGAAGATGCAACGAAGAGAGGGCTCTAAGTGGACATAGAGAAGACAGAAGTGCTTAAGACACATAATCCAACAGCAATAACAAGCACCAGTCACTATCAGTGGGAGAAATCCAAAAAAAAGTCACTTCTTCCACTTATCTAAGCAAGAAGATTTCAACTACAGGAGACGACATGGATGAGGATGTCAGCATCAAGATCTAAAGAGTAAGACAAACTTATGTAAGTACTGATTGTACTTAAGATAGACTTCAACTAACAGCACTTACCAAAGACTTCTCCTCTTAATACCTTTATCATTATTCTACCTAGTGTGTAAGTACCGATTAACGAACTCAAAATACAAAGGCTTGAGACTGGGCAGTGTATCCTGACGAGAGTTAAATTTTACACAGATTGCATATCAATTTTAATAAATAAGAATGCTGTACAACTTATCTATTGCCTGGTTTAAGGGTGCGCTTAATGGAAGCACAACATGGGAGAGAAACGCGTGTGAGCCATCACGCCAAAAAATCAAAAGATGGCGCGGTGCCATAGTGCATGAATGCTGTTAAAACAAAAGTTCAAAGATTCAAGGTACGCTACACATTCATTAGTTTGGAGTCAGTATAGAATTCTCTTGTACTTAAAGCAGCACTAATGTTAAGCCACTTCTTTTAAATGGTTCAGAAACTTGCACTGAGTGTCACAAAAGCATTTCTAGTAGGCTTCAAACGTTTATCAACAACCATCTTTCTCTGGAGATCAGCTAACAGGCTGGAAAGAATTAGCGACAGGGAATTCTGACAGGCGAAGATCCAACCAAGAACCCACTGCCCAGAAAAAATATACCAAAGAAAATGGGGTCGGATTTGACCTATGCTGATGGAAACATTGAGTGGAAACTGCACACCAGTAAACGAGTTGCGCGTGTGATCCTGGAGCCCTTTGTTCCACTCAGAACCCAAGAGAATCATAATAAGGATTATTAAATACTGTAATTTCTAAATTAGGAAATAACTCATGTGTCCAGCTTTAGAATAGATGAAGAAGAGACAAGGGGAACAAAAATCCCATACGCACACACACAGGATAGAGTTTCAAGTTCATGTTCAACCCTATTTTTTATAAATTATCACATAAATTGGATAAATGAAGTTAGAATAAAATTAACATGCTTAGATAATTAATTATTACTGCCAACAAAATCCTTGTACAATTTCAAGTAAATATTCTTTGCCAATAACTATATAATCTCATTTTCCTACGTGTTTTAATGTACTGCAAAATACTCTGATAGATAGTCTCTAACATTTTTTTTATCCCTTATTTAAACCTTGATGCTTTCACAGTTTAAATGTTCCTCTGTGATAGACAGAAAAGGCTTTCTTTCTCTAGGAAACTGTTGGGCATAATTAGTGACACTCTGCTGTATGAAGGAGAGGAAGACGAAGAAACTTGTTTATTTGTGTGAACAGTTGGAAAATATGAATTTATCACGTATGACTACTACTACTACTATTGCTATTTGCTGTGCTTTACATTTCACCTCAATAACACTCATTGTTTTCTGTGTGTGTGTGTGAGTGTACATGTATCGATAAATTGCTAAGCTGCAGCAATAAATGAATGACAATCAATGCTGAATATGTAATTTCAGCGTTTCCCTCTCTCTCTCGCTCTCATGCAAGTAGAACAACTGACATACATCACACACAAATACAAACACAAAGGACAAAGTTTTACTGACTGTCCATTTGACTAAATGTTGAAGAGGTAGGATTAAGGAAGAAATTGTGGGTAGAAATAAACGCCAACAACAAGAACAAGAGCAACAACAACAAAGATAAAACAGACATGTAAAATGATGAGGGAAGGCAGAGAGAAATTTCTTTTTTTTTGAAGACAAAATGTGTGACAAACAAATTTATTAAACTTTCTGTTGTTTTGTGTTTTTTACTAAAAGTTTTGAAATCCTACTACCCTAATAATATGAGCGAATCGTTCATTTCTAACATTGCATATTATTAATTTCTTATCAGTTTTTATAATGATCTAAATTATGAAATATAATTCCAGTTATTTACGATTATATATCATCTTAGAATTGATGACGAAAGCATTTGAGTGAATTATTCTACATGTTCAGTATACAGTGATGAGTGGAAATTATTCAAAATTATCAAATTGATTGTAAAAACTGAAAGGATTTTATATTTTATTTCATGAAATGTAAGTTATCAGTGATTTTGTGAATGAAGGAGAAAGGTCTATTTATATTTGAGTTTAAAAAATAAGTTTTTTGTGGAGATAGTTTATTGTATTACTATTACTGTTCCCTTGGGTTCTGGAGTAGAACACAGGGCTTCAACACCACGTTCGCACTTTATTCTATTCTCTTCAGTCCTATTCACCTGACCCCATGGTTGTCGAATCCCTTCCTCTTACGATTTCCTTGGTATCACACTTGGACAAACGCCCATTCGGGTTCCACTTGAGTGATGGCCTAGCGCGCGATGTCATTCGACATTCTCTTCAGAGTGTGTCTGACCCATCTCCATTTTCCCCAGTTTGGTTGGTTTGTCCCCATAGTTTCTTGTTGTTAATTATTTCTGGACATTTGATCTTGTTGGAAATGCTCTTTGTGACGTAATTCTGACCAATTTTGAATAAACTGACTTAATATTGGTTTTGAAAACCCGAATTTCACTGCTTACACTGACTCAGTGCAGAAGATTTCCAAAATGGTTTCACAATGATGAAACTGTATCTTGCTTTTCCGACTGTCTCTGGCTTTTACATCCACATCCGTGTTATCGCGTGTAGTTGAAATAATGCTTCGTAGATAAGTGCAGGAGCTAACCTTCTCCAAATATCTCTGGTTGATAGTGGCGTATTATTGCACTATTATTTATTTTGTTCCTTTGCGTTCTGACTGCAGCATAGGGCTTCAAGTAGTACCCCCCGTTTTGCTTTTAAGGGGATAAGGTTGATAATCTCATACTTAACCTTCCCTTTTTGCCCGGCTTACTAGTGGCTAGGTAACGCTGAGCAACGTGTTGGTCGGGGACCGAACCCCGGGTTACGTGAGGTGTGGTTGGCGATAATCTTACTGCTGTACTATCGACGCACTTTTGTAGCGCAAATTCATACCTTTCTAAATTTTCATGTTTGATCACGAAATGACTTCAGATGGAAAAAAATTAGAAACCAGGGAGTAAAGAGAGCTTTTTTGTCCTAGTTTGAAACTCTTCAGTAGTACACATATAACCTCGACAGTGGTTGAATTCAGGACCTTCAGGTTATGAGGAGAACTCATTGAGGCTCTATACAATGAACCATCACTTCTTACTTCTGCTAATTCAAGATTTTTAAGCCAGTTCTGGCCACTGTTATCATTGAGTATTTTCCTTAAATCCAACTTGGTGTGCCCAGCTAGTCCCGTCTTTCTGTAGCCAGAGATTAGCGAACGCACCAGATTAATTTTCAAGTGTTTCACTAACGGCTATCTGGGAAAGGTCTAGTTTGTCAGTGGGTGTTGAATTGGAAAATTCAATACTATGGAATAAAGTAAACAGACATTTTAATCTTATTATAATCATCATCATATCATTATATTCATATTGGATTCCAAGTGGAGCATAGGGCTTTAGCTTCACATCTCCATTTTTTGTGTTTTCTACAGTCATCTTTAGCGAACTACATGAATACCCATAAGTTTTCAGCACCTGTTCACAAAATTTCCTCCACGTCACCCTCCGACACACGCCCAGCTTGTCATTTCATATTCGGATCCCATTCAAGGGCCTGTCTTGCTGCCGATGTTGACCCAACAGTTTCCTCAGCGTGTAAGCAATTCACTCCCATTTTTATTGTAAAAACTTTTAAAATTCATGTTCACTACTAGCACAGAGTAGCTTGTAAATAAGAACAACAGTTCTGGTTCTCTGTCTTTGTTAACACCTTAATGTTTCTAGAATTGAGTGACTGTATACCAAATTAGATCGATATGTTTGTGACGACGTGTGTGTGTAGAAAATACATTTGTAAGCCTAATTTACAACGCAATATCCAAACAACTTTCAGCCTTTATGGTATTTAAAAAATCCAACTTCAGGTTCCTTCAAAAGAGCATTAACACACTGAATAGGTTAGTGGTAAAACTACTGGTTTCATAACTTATTTTTATGTGTACTTCTTCAAGTTTGTAAATAAATGTCACTGGTCAAATACGATGAGCAGGATGCGTTATTGACTGATTCATCAAATTCAGAACCGCATAATTAGTTACTTACATTACTGGATACCCGGGATTCTGATGTCAAAGTCAGAATCGGAGAAGCAAGATACACCTTCATCAACCTGAAACCAGTTTGGCAGTCTTCCGTGCTCAGCTTAAGGGACAAGATTCCGATTTTCAACACAAATGTCAAGTCGGTTCTTCTTTACGGGTCAGAAACTTCCACTGCGTGTCATGGAAAGCACTTCAAATAGGTTGCAGACTTACATCAACCACCGCCTTCGCTTCGTACTGAAGATCATATGACCAGACAGAATTAGTAACAAGAAACTCTACAGTGGAACAAGCCAACCAAGAGCCGACTGGTCAACAGATATGTAGGAGAAAATGGAGATGGATCGCGCATACGTTGAGGAGGCCGTTGAATGATATTACACGCAATGCAGGCCATCACTCAAGTGTCATCCCAGTGGTAAGCGACGAGTGGGTCGGCAGTGCGAGGGTGACATGGGGGAGATCGTGTAAGGAAGAGATGAGAGAGTTTGGTCAATCGTGGACCCAGCTGGAGACGGCGGCAGAAAACAGAACAAAGTGGAGATGTGTTGTTGAAGCCCTATGTTCCACTCTGAACGCAAGGGAATAATAATAATACAGGATACAATATTTAAGGCTGAGTGAAAGACATGAAATCCAAGATAGTTATGAGCACTGGTTTTACGGGTAAAATGATTCCTTGCATCTGTAGAATACTGATATATATTCTATCATGTGTTTTCGAATTTCGCCATGAAGAAATCAGCCAAGCCTGAATAAATTTCTGAATAATAGAATAACACATTTCATATTTGATCGTCATTCATCAAGAAACTGACTAGTAAATAAAGAATATTCCTTTCGATAACCTCCTCTTCATCAGGCCCTATATTTATCTGACCATAATAAGAGAATTAATATTTTTACTAATAGTAATAATGCTGTTTAAAATTCATTCACTCAGTACTATCCACAGATTACATTTGGAAAGCATCAATAAGAAAGAGAGAGAGAGATAATATTCATTAAAATAACATTAAACTGACTCAATATCAGATAAATTAAGGAAAGCAACATAGAATTTATGAATCTATAGGTTCGACAACAGGCTAGGGTGTCAATAGTGCTTGAACCTGTTTCCTTTACACTCACAGCTCCGGTTGATTCAAATAAACTGCAATGACCTATGCTGTTCACAGTGTCCGGTAATGTAGAAAAAGGAAGGAAGGAACCTCGGAAACCTTACGCAGAATTCTTAACAATGCAGCAATAAAAGTGAGATTCAAACCCACAAACTCAATTAGAAACAAGCTTTGTCGGTTAAAGGAACCTGTGGAACCTTTAAAACAATTAAGTGTATCTAATACTCTGCCTGTGATGACTGTCAGGTAAAATACATAGGTCAAAGTAGAAGAACAGGTGTAGTCAGATTAGCGGAGCACAAAAACCTAGCAAAATCTAGATTAGTTGACCTGAATAAGATGAGAAATCTAGAGAATAGTTCAGCTATACCACTCACTACTTGTAGTTACACACAATCATAAAACAGGATGGCATAAGATGACAGTTTTAAAATATAATGTCGCAGGGTATAGGGAGAGATTGACAACAGAAGCTTTGTTTATCGAATCAACTGCAAACACATATAATAGGAATGATTCAACACCTGTCCCAGATATCTGGAAAATTCTACTACCCCAACGACGACAAATAGGAGAGAACAAAAAAAACTATAAAACTCAATTTTCGAAGTCGTGTGATTACAGCTGGTATGTTTATGAACAATAAATTTTGTTCGAAACTGTGTCATCTAGTAAATAATACTGTTTCACTGTGTGATACATCTAATAAACAAACTAATATGGAATTGATGACTACCACGGTGTCCATCCAAGTTTTACACAAATTTTAATGTAGAGGCCTTTGGTGATTCATTTGAAACCCAATAGATGACAGGTAAAGACTCTTCAATGATCTCTAGCTTTATGGCCTGTAATTACTATAAGACACAACGTACCTATCAAAGTATCACATGAAAGTAGTATTTCTAAGAGAAACTAATCATCTTTGTTGAATATTCCCCATGAAATAATTTGTACATCGTCACAGTATATCAATGAAAAGTACTCTTAGAAGATTTACTAAAGACATTAATAGTGATTGTGTGTCGTTTTGATAAGATCTTTAAGAGATGACTTTATTCTAATATTAACAAGTTAAAAATTGAAATGCTTTAAGATTTCCACTACAAGATATATCCTTTATTAGACTTGTTAGCCACAAACTGGAGTGATATAAAGTTGTCCGTATAATATTTTTTTAATGAAAAAAAAATTAGTGTTTAATTTCAATTTCTTCAGAAATGTCAAAAATGACACTAGTATTTTGAAAAAAATAGGTGACTGCATAGACTTCTATTCTGTCCTTCTAACAGTAAAATAAAGTCAAAGCATTCATTACTGTTACATCAAGTTAAACCGTTTGGATAATAACAAGACTAGGTATAAACTGAAATGCTTTTCAAAGGTAGATTATTGCATCAAATATAAGGCATATATATATGTTTCGAAAGACTAACTTTTAACGTCTTTCAGTGTATTTTACAAATTTTAGTTGATGTTTTCCATATTAGGAAGGGTTAAAATTAAGAAAAAAGCAACTTTTCGTTGGACGCCAGTGTGACACGCATGTGCACATGCACAGGACAGGACAGGACCAAGGGATGTCTTTTGGACCATAGTAATGCGCTTAATGTTTCCACAAAATTGAAGGAGTTTTTTATACGTTAACATATTAACGCAAGAAGGAGTACACAGACTCTTTGGGTAGCCAGGATTTTATTTCCATTCTTCAGCATTTTCAGAAGTTGAATAAAAAATAAGGAACTACTCAGAGGATAAATGCATATAGAAAAAAAATCCCCATTTAGACATTTAGAAAACAGAAAGATTAAGCGAAG